AAATAATTCACAGATGGCGTTAAATTTTTTTAAATGTGTCGATTCTGAATTAATGCCAAATTAATTCTTTTTTAATCTTATTTTCTTCATATGAATTCAATAGAGTAACGATTGAAAAAAAACCATACAATATGATAATCGATGAAAAAAAACAGAAATATTTATAAAGAATCAGTATTTGCAATAAAAAAAATGTTTTCCAGTGAGATAATATCCGCAACATTTAATGTCAGTCTTCCACGCACGACAAATGATTATTATAGTCGCGACGTCTTGTCATAGTAGTCACAATAATATGCATTATATGTCATATATGTTTTTAAAAAATATAAAATTAAAGAGCTATTAACAACTGTACATATCCCAAGAAAAAATTCGTGAATAAAGAAGAAGAAGAGAAATAAGAAAAATTGAATCGTGATCGATCTCTGGGCTTGCCGTTCCATTTTCAAGAAACAAATAAAAAAGGGAACTTCCTCCTTTATGTTAATCTTTCTTTATTGCAAAAGTCTGATCAATCTATATAAAATTGTTCAAATATATTTTTTATAAAATAGTAACATTAAATTTTGTGATAAATTTTTCATCAGACTGTAATCTTTTCTTTTCGAAACAATAATCAAAATCATTTCTAATTTTACCTTTATGTCTAAATGTAGGCCTTTTTGTTTGATTAGCATTTTTAATTTTCCAATACTCGTTATAAACAATTAAAATAAAGAAAAATAAAAAGAGAAATAACTGCCCTAAAATCGATACACGTAACATATTTACATTCCTATATGCGAACTTGAGCTAGTTCTCTAATAATTATATTCGTTTTGTGCGGACGAAACTGGGAGAATAAAATATCCGATCAATTAGATTCCGAATAGCTTTTAAATTCGACGGCTATACAATCATAAAAACACATTCAACAATTATAAAAAATTATTGTAAACAATTCATCAAATATTGTCGAATCGCTTTCGCGACGAAATTGTTCGTTGCTCCCGTCAATGAGAGAGTGTTTCTCGCAACGATAATTACAAACTAATGTAAAAAAAAACATCAATATGTTTCTCGCATCTGCTGCGATACAAAAACTTTGGTTTAATATATACAAAATCGCGATTTTGTGCGTATTGCAGCCTAATAAACAAAAATTTTCACGCATCTTCATTTTACAAACATGAGGATTGAAGGCTGAAATTGAATACGATCGTTGTGCAGTTCCAATATCGCAAAACTATCGATAATTGAGAGGTACAGTGAATATTTTGAGATAAAATTTTACTGAATATTAGAAAGAAGCTAAGGAGCGGCAAGTTTATATTTACTGCATCTATCATTTATCGTCGATTGTATGATTTGTCATTGATCATTTTTTGTTATATATAATATACATAATGTAATACTGATTTTTCGATTTAATCAGTTCCAAGGATTTGTGGCAGTCAGGTTTTAAAAATGTTTCAACTTTGTACATACATACCTTGTCAATAATATTTGCTGGCGTGCATTAACATTCCTCAGTACAATAGAACTCCATTTATATTTTCATTTTGTTCATTTATCTTTTATTTCAATTTTTTGTTTATTTGCTCCAATAGCGGATCTTATGCGCAAGTAACTAATTAAGATAATTGCAGACAATTATGTAATTCATATAGAGTGAAAAAAATGTATAAAATTATGGAATGTTATTTGTGTGTGTATATATGCGCGTGCACGATTCAAGATTCCAAATCTGAAAGTTTAAAACAGTTTCATCATCATATTTGAAGCAAATTCTCGCGAATGGAGTTCTATTGCAGCCTCAACATATCGAACACCATAAGAAATGTCGAGAAGAAGGGCGGGATACAGAAGGGATGAGAACCCTTGCACACCCATTCACATATTGTACGCCACATAGATAGGATCGAGCTGGTCCGCGAGAAAGCCGTCACGCAGATGCATCCGTTGTTTCTCACCACGCGAGTTAATGGGTACCACACCGGGGTCCACTACAACTACTACGCCGACCACCAAATGATGCTCTTCAAGCACGGCACTCGTCACCAAAGCCACAAGATCGAGGGCCTCGCTTTCGCTACCGTCCAATTCTACCACTACCACTAGAAGATTGGTCCATGTAAATACGGCGCTGGAAAGAAATACGATATATAAATGTAATTATGTATATTAATGTAGCTAATATTAATCGTTAATATAAAATTAAGAATAAGAAAATATAGAAATGTGTGTAAAATTGTACGTAGCCAATATTTGTGATCGTGATGATTCAAGAAAAAAATAATTAAGTTTTAGATTAAATTTTAAAAAGACTTACCATTCCGCAATTTTCTTGTGACACCGCATGACACTGTTCTCGATGTCTATTGGATGATACCGCATACCTCGCAGTAGAATGGCCTCATCGAGAGCACCGACGACGAATACAGCATCGTGAAGTTCCGGATCGCTCGGTATAAGATCAGCCTCGGACGCATTATTAGTATCACCGGGTACGTCGCTAATCACTGATTGCTGAACACTCTCGGTTCTTCTCAGGAAGCCAAGATAGCCTGTTCTTGCATAGACCTCATTTGTATTGCCAGTGACTAGTCGTGCATTAAAATGATCGGCGTAATCGCTTTCATCGCCATAAATTGTGAAGTAACCACTTGCGTTGTGCGAAGACTGCACCCAGATCTCGCCTAAGTGTGAATCTCCACATTGACCCTTGGTTTCGGGATTTGCGATAATCACTTTCACGCCGGGCAATAGTTTGCCCGATTCCATTAAACACAAAGAATGCGGACTGCCCCGTTCCACCAAGGATACTCGATCGTTACGTAATGCACGAAGGTCTACGTAGACTGTCGAGGGTTCCGGACTGGAAGCTCCCTATTGAATAAAATCACGAAAATGTTTAAAAATTTGTAAGAATTTATCAGGAAACATAACGTATATATTTTTCATTCTTTAATTATACCTGTAAACAAATGGCAGTGTTTACTCTGCAACCAAACGAAGTAGAGACTGCGCGCGGACTCAGGCCGAGAGCGGAAAATAGTTTACTAAAACTTGTTGTCAACGCTATCCGCGGCCTTTCCTCGGCGACAACGACACACGTCCTTACGCATGCTAGACTAACGCCTCGTGCTTTAAGCGCGTGAACCGAGGAGCCGAGTCCCTTAGTGCACAATTCCATAACACCATACGAGCAGAACGTATCTCTTACTCTGGATTGACTGACTGCCGACAGCCAAAGTGCAGGATTGGCTTCCACCTAATGATAGTAATAAAACGTCAAATTAAATGTCTTTCAAGATTGAATATAAAAATTGCCATACTTACTTCAGATGGTGGTATCAGAATAGAATGATGTCCACTATATATACTGCTAAGACACCATAAAGCGAAGCCAAGGCCCGAATATGGATCCAAACAAAGAGCGATATGTCTCGAAGGATAAAGCTCGCACGCTAATTTCATGGCACGACACAACGACGTGACTGCCGCGTGAGACATCTTAATGCCAGCGAGCATGCCCGTTGTTGAAACGCTAAAATCCAAATAGGCCAGCATCTCCGCAGTGGGTGCCCGATACATCACTGGTAGCTTCTTCTTTGGCATGTCATCCATATCCAGAATCATTGGCCAACTCTTCACGTCAACCACGTTGTTCGCTTCCTATGCAAAACAAGAACGACCAATCGATGACGAATATTTTCAATCATTATTTTTCAATCAACGATTAATGATCAAACATTATTTTCAATTACCTTTGTCTTTAACAACTTGAGAAGGTTTTGATTAGTTAATACGAGAACGGATTTGCTAACGTCCACAATCATGCGAACAGTCGGCAACGTCGTTTGGAGATTTTGGGGATGAGGTGGTCTGATGGTTACCGGAACAGCACCGACGTACAAACAACCATAAAATGCACATATCAAGTCAGTACCAGGTGGAAAAATGAGTGCCACATGATCGCCAGTATTAACTCTTCCTCTATCCAAGAGTAGATTTCCGATTCTTTCGGCCTTCTTGTGTAACTGCGAGCAGGATAATGAGGTAGCCACGGTACCCTTCGCATTCAACGATGTAAATATCACATGATCTGAAGTGCTGACAGCACGCCACCGTAGAATTTCAGAAATAAATTGGTACTGAAAAATAAACAATATAATATGAATATTCAAATTTTTTTCTCCTACATACATACCACACACACACACACACACACACGCGCGCGCGCGCGCAAATTCAAGAAAATCTAACGGTTTTATTGAATTTAATTAGACTCACGAACCTTTTTGGCGTTGTCACTGTCCTCGTCTAGAACACCCATGTCTCGTCCCTGCGCAGACGCTAATCGGTTCCCTTGGACAATATTCCCTACCATGACACTGGCTGGACCGACATCTGCAACAGAATCCCCCGCTACACGCCCCCGCACCATTCCGTTAGTAAACCAACACAAACACTCAACCCAATAATGAGTAGCTCACACACTCTCCCCTGACTGAGGCCGGAAAAATCAAAGCTAGAGCAATCTGGTTCTTGCCATCGGAGCCAATACAAGCGTTCACATGGGTCTTCTGTTCCGCAGGTCTATGTTTTAATATGCACTCACGAATCTTTGGATCCATGGATGCGAATTTCCAAACATCTTACTTATCGAATTGTACAGTCCAGACTGATTGAATAGATCCCAGATTGATTATATTTACATTAAAATATCATTATGAAATTAAAAAAGAAAATACAGAAAAGCATCTGAATGCAAGGGGCTAAAAAATATAGTTTCTTCAGTGATAAAAATAGTTAAGTAAAAGGCAGAACCCCTTGCTTGTTGAAATCAATTATTTGCATTTTATTAGGATACTACGGGATATTCGGAACTCAGCCAAAAGAAAGAAGGATAACTAAATGGAATAACATGCTAAGCATAATTAATTGTGTGAGAATTGTTAATAAAATACAAGTATAATCTAATACGATAACCTTGTGTTCTAATTCAATCTCAATATTTTGCAATAAATGTGAATCCCATATTTTCCCAAGAAAATACAAGATAATAATTATTACGTTCCAATAGCGTTTCAAAAAGATACACATCTATTTAATCATTACAAAATTTATTCTTGCTATTATTTGATTATATTTAATTGAAAAAATATTAAATATATCATTCGTTATATATGAATAGACAAATCATAAAAATATTACACGTAGATAAATAATAGACGTAGACAAATTTTATCGCGATTTTACAAACATATATATTTATTCTGAATATATAGATATTGTATCGTGTAAATGTGTTTTCTCAAGTCTACTAACAATATTATATGAATATATGAAAGTTAAATTTTTGATGCTATATATAAAAATGAAATTTGAAAATAAATAAAATTCATAATTATTAATATATTTTTTCCAATTTCTTATTTACTTTACTCTCTTTTCCTATTTTTCACATACATATATACATACATTACATACAATACATACATACATACATACATACATACATACATACATGCACGCTATGCACGCACGCACGCACGCACGCACGCACGCACGCACGCACGCACGCACGCACGCACGCACGCACGCACGCACGCACGCACGCACGCACGCACGCACATACATATACACATACGTACATATTCTCTCTTTAATTATCTTTCTCTTTGTCTATCATTGTCGACTATGCAATTCAAAAGATTAATAAAATTTCTTCAACTTGCATATATCACCATCAAATATTTAATATTAATTATTTATTCATTGATCAAAATATAGATAATTCCATGTTTAATTTTTAAATGAAATATTTTGATAAATATTTATTAAATCTGATCTTTTCCTACTTATTTCATAACAACATTTATATTCTTTAAAAAAGTTGTATTTCGTAAATGTAGGATATAAGAAAAAAAAAATTGTTAACATTGTTGAACAAATATTTGCTGGCGTTAGAATGACTCTCATTATTCAGGTTTTCGTCGATACCTGTCAATTTAATGAAAGATATCAACGCGATACCTGCTGATAAATTTTATTTCACTTACCTGAATGAACTTCGCGCGGTTTTGGCAGGTTAGTGACACATGTGTGAGGACAGAGAAGCACGTTGGCCGGATGAAGAGCACCCTCGAGAAAGCGGCGCTTTGTTTCTGATAAATGAATACCACCTAATGGTGTTTTGGGTAGATAATTGGGTGGTACCAGGGCAAGACAATATATTCCAACTGCGTGGATTGAATCGACTGCTTGCAATACTCGAGACATCCATTGAAAACTCTGTATAAGATAACGAGAAATGTTTAAAGATTTGAATCGATATCGAATTTAATAAATGCCGAATATAATTTTTAAATAAAAATAAAAATTTTCCTCTATTTTCCTTTTTGAATAGCTTTTAATACTGCACCGTACCTCCTCTTCGCTGCAATCAGGTCGTTGTTCGGCAACGACACATATTCTCTCATCCCTGAGGACTCTCACACTGAAAACAGCGATTCTGCCGCGATAGATAAACTTCATCGGTTCGACTGCCAACACAGTGGCGATAATGTCGTCGGCATTGTGTTTTCTACCAGTCACTGTCATAAGACCGTCCCGCGATCCGCAAACAAACACAAGTCCTCCAGGACCAAGGAAACCAAGCAAGCCAGAACGTGTGTATTCGACATCACCTAAGGTAGCACCATCGGCTTGTAAGGGTGATACTTTAAAGGTATTGTTGGTAAGTCCTTGCAAACCCCAATATTGACTACCGGTCGCCGCACTATGTACGCAAATTTCACCTACTTCGTCCGTCTTACAAATAAATGGCTGTCCTTCCATCTTAATAACGACTACTATACCTGTAAAAAAATAAATTGTCATTAGAACGTGTCGTAATGGAAAAATTATCGAAGAAGACTCACTTCCAGGCATGACTTGTCCACAATCTTGCAGCGTCAACGATGTAAGAGAATTTTCTTGATCTACTCTGACAACTCCGTAACTCAAGCCGGACATGGAGAGAACTCCACGACCAGTCGCGTTGACTCCTGCGCGTCCTGGCCTTCTCACGGAAACTGTGAGAGCTTCGCTCGATGAAGCGCAAGGACAGACAGCGTCAGGCCGAAGTCCCTTGGATTGAAATACCGAGAGAAATTGATCACAAGAGGAGAGAGACCAGGGATTTGCACCATCCGCAACGAGTAACAGTCTCAACGATGCCAGAGAAATATCCTTATGATCCTTAGTTGCTAACAAACCCCAATGAAGATCTCGCGATTTTACGACCGCGACGCTGGCACGGTGCTTCGTGATCATCTGCATCCAACTAGCGGGATTGACTTTCATCAGGGCGTAAGGGATGAAAATAACATGCATTCCATTTAGCACGCTAGTCAAAGTGCTATGCCAGAGACCAACTTCTCGCTTAAAATCTAATACGCAGACAGCGTTCTCGCCTTCGGTATAGCCACATGCCTGCGAGAGAGCGCGACAGTGAGACATCATCGCTGCTCTAGTAATAGTTACGCCCATCACAGAGCCATCTTTGTCTGTAGTGTATTCAATATACGCAGGTGTGTCGTCAGTGAGTCGTGGTGGTGGCATCCAGTCCTTGGGCGTTTTGCCTAGGTGTTCGGTGACAAACCAATGCAGTTTTGGCCAACCTTTAAATGCCACCACTTCACCAGCTGCCGTCTTTGGCAAGCCTTTCAGACACGCTTCACTAGTCAGCGCAACCTAAAGATCAAGATTTATAGATATATCACTAATTTCCAAGTCGAGTGAATCGTCGCGATTATGTACATTAATGCAAATTGCAAAATTGTGCGATTAATTGAACGTAGCAAATGTAGAAAGGAATGTTGCTCGATGTATAAGACAAGAGACTACGTTCCGCTTACTTGAATTCCACAGCTTCCTAAAAGAAAACCGATCTGTTGAGAACCCGCGTCACGACGGGTCAGAGGTACTTCGATGGGCACTGGCACGATACCAGCCTGAAGACAACCATAAAAGGCGCACATGAAGCTGATCGGATCGTTGTTTGGATAAACCAGGGCGATTCTATCGCCTGGTTTCAGGCAGCAATCCCCACCACGACTTAGAGCCTTATTCAGAAGAGTATAAGCGATCTTATGAGAGCGACTAAGCAGTTTGCCGTACGTGAGCGTTACGCAAAGTTTGCCATTAGGATCCAGGACGGTTGCCACAGGTGCTTTGTACGTTGCCGAACCATACCTGACATAAAAAAATGGATTCTATGAATCATAAATATATGAATCTCCACTCGCAATCATGAATCGTCGAGAATCTATGAAACGCAACATCTTTGGTTCATCGATAGCCTCACCTTTGAATAGCAGCTTCGAGAGATCGCGGCAAACCCGATGGAACCGATAGTGCCTCGCCTACCGCCGATGTCATGGAACCGCCTTCAGGTTTAGGAGCATTTGGATCCTTCGGATTTGCTGCAATTTCCAACTCGATATCGTCATCCTCATAAAACTCCGGTAGTGGTCGACGTTTTGGCCGTTTCAACGTATTCAACAATTGCTGGATCTTTGCAGAGACCTTCCAGCGTCCAGTGGTACCAGTACTATTCTGATCTTCAACCACGTGCGCGTAACGATTCACACGGTCAGCGCCAGGCCGCCGCGTCGCCGATTGCTGTTGTCCAACCGGAGTATTGCTCGTCACATGGGTAACGTCCGGTGGCTGGATATTGCAGTAAGCGTGCGGTGTGTACTCGGCAATGTCGGTGATATCGGCACCGGGCGGCCTCCTGGCCGGCGGTCTGGGTGGCGGCGGGGTATCGCGAGCGGAACCTGTACTGCTGGTATCCGAAAGACCAGTACCTACATTCCAAAGATCGCTAAAGGTCAATAATAATCTATCGCATTATTGGACGACTTATTTCATATGACCATTATGTCACGCGCGCACGAGTTTCTTCACGTTTCAATGCATGGTTCAACCACTTTTTCCATTCGTACGCATGGAGGAAAAATAATGCGTATTGATTATTGGCGTGTCGTCCGGCGGAAACAGTCAAGGACGCGTGATGACTAGCATTAAACAGTCACATGGCATTTGAACCGTACACGATGCGTTTTCTTACATTCTTTTTTTGACGTGTGCATAAATGCAGGAGGACAGATGGGCAAAATTATATTTATCATATCGTGCGATAATTATTTCATCTATTTCATTTATCAATTTATCTAACAAATGTTTATATAAATAATTTTCAATTTATTTATATGTTTCTAGTATTATACACGCGCGCGCGTATGTAACTAATAATAATTTTACCAGTTGGGCCACCCGCTCCCGGACTCTCCTCAGTGACAACGCTATCCTCGTCGCTACTAGACTCGCCGCTATCGCGTCTTTCCCGATCGGGGCTTCTGGCCATCACGGAGGTTCTCTTAGACGGCATTGGCAAGGATGGCTTCGGTCGTCCCTGCATCGCTGCCAAGGCCTGTTGCACTGCCTCCTGGCGCACCTCTAAACACGTAAGAATTGATTACTCAAACGGATAATGAGAACAGATGACACATGCAGGCACTTGATGTTCTTATTTCCGCATCATCATTCCTTCTTCCGACACTATTTATACATACATGTGTATTCATGCGTTGCGCATCGTATATTTTTTGCGTATTAATAATCTAACGTGTTGCTTTCAAGATGTATGTATGTGTGTGTGTGTGTGTGTGTGTGTGTGTGTATGTGTGATACTAAACAATTTGCGGGATAAGATGCTTAAACTTGAAAAGATTAAAAAGTTATTGACTAAACACTGTAGCAATATGACATTATAACACATATAACTTTTTCTAGCAGTCTACAAACACATACCGAGATAAAAAGTCTTTTTCGCATGCTGTCTTCTCTTGCAAAATGTGCAAATTCTTGATGGCTTTTTAGAACATATTTATCAATTGACATAATGAATAAACACTATAATCGTCTTTGCCAATATTAATTTGAATTAAAAAAAAGTATCATGTTGCGAAAAACATAAGAAATTATTCATTGTCAAGGATAGACGTATATTCAAATTGCAGATACAAAATCAGCCTGAATATTTTTTAAATAGAGAGTACAATTATTTTTATAATTTAATACAAAAATTGCATGTTTTAGCTTTAATTTAGAGTGAAATATAACATACAATTCCTGTTTTATTTTTGGGTAAAATTGGACAAGTTCATAAGCAACTTGGATTCTTCAGCCTTTTTGCTAAGAATTGCGAATAGAATGAAATTGCATTTTCCAATTGCAATAAGCGCATCCAATGCGGCCGCTGTATCGCGCGTAAACTTCATAATACAATAACATACAAGTAACATCCGGTCGCTGAGTTGGTTGCCATATACTTCCGGATAAAGCATACTCGTATCGTTATTGATATAGGACGCTCGTTATAAGCTTGTACTTGTATTATGTACGTACTTGCATATAGAATGTCTTACACGTTTCATGTCTTAGAGTTTATTATTAATTATATGACATATTTTTTAAAATGTCATTTAGTTAACAGTGCAAAATCTAAATCTAGAGATATTAAAAAACTTTAAATTAAAACAGATTGACATCTATATTGTTAACGGAATAAAAAAAATATATATTTTTTGATAATCACAAATTTGTTTAGAATTTTGTTTTAACATGAATAGCATTTTTTGTGTATTTTGTTGGAACATCTGTTATAATATGCAACTTTATCAATACGAATATTCAGGACTGACTTATCTTCTATAAGGTACACTCCATTGACTGGTAACGGTGCACCAGGTGGAAGATAACTTGCACTTTGCATTGAAATAAATGAACCTTTCTATCGACGCTTCCGAACGAAGCGAGTTTTTCTCCCGGTCATGTGGAATGACATTTTATTCGGGATAGAAGAGTGGGATATATGCGGAGCAAGGTATTGAGCTTTGTATAATTTATTTAAAGAACAGCTAGAAAAATGAAAATTTTACAAATCAAAATTTTATAGATCAATGAATAATATGGTGCATGTTACGTAAAAAAAATCTAAAAGAATGATTTTTCATGGAACACTGTTAAGTACATTTTTGCAAATATCATTTTTTTTTTCATTTCTTTCATTATTTTTTATCATTCATTGTAATTTCGTGAAAAGAACTTTCGTGAAAAGAAAATTGTATTGTAATCATTCGAACAATTCGAATGATTTATCGAACACACAGTAAAAGTGGAGCCAACACCAAATCGGAAAGAAAAGTCACTGTTGTTTGTTAAACGAATGGTAGTCCTTGTATAATTTAGCATCGTCTCTAGAGGAGGACTGTATCTACCTTTATTTAAATGTACTCACCGGAATGATAACGGCTCTCATTGCGTGTGAGTCTGCGATTACCACGTCTAGCTGCCGCCGCTGCTGCCGCTGCCGCCGCTGCAGCAGCCGAATTTGAGTTGCCAGTGTTCCCTGTGGAGCCACCAGAACCCGGGGGACTAACGATTCCTCCAGGTGCTAGTCGACCACCTGCATGCAACACAACAACAACAACGGCACATAGACAAAGAAGGGACGAGCTACGAGAGCCTGTCTGCCTGCGAGAATCGCAAGAGTCGTCGTTCGCTCTTCCTTGGTCTCGTCGCACTCGGATAAATCACTCGGATAGATCATTCAAAGATCAGCATCAAACTCGAAGTTAACACGTTCTGTATCTCTACTTTGCCATCATTAATCATTTGCCTGATCAATCCTAACAAGTTTCTAAATCTTGAAAAGCAAATCTAACTACTCGTTGAGTATTATTAATAATCCCAAGAATCGAAATTTTGTAGCTCCAAGCATCCTTGAAATTAAAGATAAGAATGAAGGATCCGTAAATTGGCGATTCTCTCTAGAAAATATACATTCCAAGCGGTTAGTACCGTCTTTGCAAAGGCTCGCCAAATTCTTCGCTATTTAACATGCCGTAAGAGGATGTTATTTATCCGGATGCGAGTAATCGTCGTAAAAATTGTGCCTTTGACGACTAGTCGTTCCACCATCGGATGCTGCGTCTCGTGAGTGTGACTCGTATCGATCGTCCGTAGCTCGACACAGGAAGATTGGAAGAGGAGGAGGGCCGGTCAATGGCGTGATTCAGTTGGAATAATCATCGGGCGATTTCAGAAGAGCCGTGCGAATCGTTTTGTTACGTGAATTTATCACGCATTACCTATCCAACAACGACGATCAAACTCGAACGAGTTGTGCGCGTATCATGTAGGGGAAAAAAAAATTAAAAGTCTTCCTAAAAGTCAAAAGTATCTGACTCCACAATCTTCATATCAAAAGTTTCTCGTAGCAAAGTGTTACGATATATTAAAGACGCCTGTCGCAAAATGTATAGTATAGATTCACGATATGCAATATCGGTAATTGACGCGAGCAAGAATCTCTATCGACGAGGACACATGAAAAATACAAGTGTTGCACGCTCGCGGATACAGCAGTCGGGGACGCGGTCGATTGAATAGTGAGAATGCCGATGGATAGCAGGCCGGCCGGCTGGCTGCAATCTTGAGTCACCCGAAGGTGGAACAACCGGTCTCGGCTACCGCCTGGCTATGTCAAATTACAAAGGTATCTAAAGGTGCAAAAGCGTCTTGAGGCAACACACGCGAGAGATAGGGTGTAAGCAGGCAAGCTACACGAAGAGAAAAGTACAAGCGGTACGATGGACGGAACACGTTTGCTTTTCCACGGTTTGTTCCAACTTTCGACGGTATGTGCAGAAAATGGAAGAGTGTAATTCATTTCGTGGGATTTACATCTATTTTTATAAAAATTTAAAAACACGAATATAACGGGCAAAACACGATAAAAGAGAAGTGAGGAATATTTCGCTGTTATCTCAGCTGATTTCTCGGAAACAATTTTGGTGAAGGAAACTGGCATCGTTTCGACATTCTTCTAGCTAGATCGAGTCATTGGTGATGTGTGTACATATATATGTGCGTGCGTGCGTGCGTGCGTGCGTGCGTGCGTGCGTGTGTGTGTGTGTGTGTGTGTGTGTGTGTGCGCGCGTGCATGAAAATAAAAGTAAAACGAATCGTACAGTGGTTAAAAGATCTGTAACTTAACGAACTCTACGTATTCTAATCTAATTGAAAAAACCTCTATGAGATAATTAATTCTCTACGGTTCATCTGAAGGGCAAGCTAAAAGCTAAAATTAAAGCAAGATTGCGACACACAATCAATAACGTTGCGCGTGTTAACATTCGTTTGCCACGACTCGAAGATATCGCTCGTTCGTGGATTACGTAGTGGCGCTACCTGAGTGATAGCGCTTCTCGTTGTGCGTGACGCGCCGTTGCGTGCGCCGTGCACGTGGCTGCGGTCGACCACCGCCACCATAGCCTCCTCCTCCTCCTCCTCCTCCTTCTCCTTCGCCACCGCCACCGCCATCGCCATCGCCATCGCCATCGTCACCGTCACCGCCGCCGCCACCACCACCACCACCACCACCACCACTACCGCCATCACCACCGCCACCTCCTCCGCTTCCGTAACCCGTTCTCTCAAGCCCTTTACCAACGACGCCTCCGCCGCCGTCGCCGCCACTTCCACCAATATCACCATTTCCAGCCCCTACGATCCACAAGCGCGTATGCACAATGCTTCGATTCTTATAAATACCCATATGTTATTTTTCTATAGCATCACTTTATCTTTAGCCTAGTACTTAAAACTTAACTGATAATTTTTCGTTGCAATAACAATTCGTAATGTATATGAAAAAGAATGGCAAATATTTGTATCGCCATGTAATAAAGTAATATGTTAAACAACTTTTTGGACAAATGTGAAATTAAAATTTCTTCTCGCGATGCATCACTTGGCGGTGCAATACTGTCATAATGATCTACTTTATTATAAAAAATGAACAAAGGAACTACATTTCGTCTGAATCGCTTGAGAGATTTATGTAAAAGAACTTCCCGTTATTTGGCTTAGCCATACTAGCTGGAAAACTGTCGCTAGTTCGACTCGCATTCACGACAATGGCAGATGCACGTAGCATATAACGAGCGGATAACGCGGAAGCGCTTCTTCCGCGTGCAGGTACAGTTAAACTGCAAGCCGATTGCAGCGGTTCTGCCGATCGCAGAGCTGCGGGCGCAAAGAGGCATCTATGTAACTATACGGGGTGGCTCCATGTGAAAATGTACGAGATTCTCGAAATGGTATACGTTACTCATTATCAATTCTGACTTAATTTTACTTTAATGTAGGGAGGGACCTAAAGAGAGCAACAAGTAATAAAATTAATATATTTAAACAAAAATTTATTTGTTCTTGTCATATCAGTTTTTTTTTTTATTTTTATTATTAAATAGCTTTAAAAAATTGAATAACTTAAGCAAAAAAGAAATTTAGCCGGATTTGTTCTAAATCTAAATTAAAAATGAGAAATATCTGACCGTAAAAGAATTAAATTGATAGGTAACGGGGCGCATCGAGACGAGAGAGATGCATCCATGGAATGTAACTTGCGCGAACTAGCAAATGACGCGTGGTAGCGTCTAGACAATTCCGTGTCCAGTAATTTGCGACGATAAGACCAAGATTTGCGTTCGCGACAGTTGCGCGGTAACGGCTGTCGACTCGGAAACGATCGACGTTCGCGTTACACTTTGCGTCTGCGATAAGCGATGCGGAAACATCGGTCGATGTTGAAATCTCGGGCGATTTTCATACAGTTCGAAATAATCCCGTTTGAAGCGGCAAATATTCCTCATAAAATAAACACAGGTAAAATCGCGCAGAATTGCGCATCTTCTTCTTGTTACAACGTAATTTTCTCTCTCGGGTTTCTCTCGACCTGTGTTCCGCGTCCGCGTGGCGCAACTGAGAGCAGTTATATGTTGCATTCGCAAGGTGCCAAGTGTTAAAACGACGCGTGCCGCAAAGATTACGTTTCGTCTCTTCCTTTTATACAGATTGCATTTGCCATTGTTCACACAATGAGGCGCGTGTCTCTTGAGAATCGGAACACGATTGATATTGCAAGTTTGTTGCGTCTCGATGTTGCAACATTGCATACGCCAAGATGCGACGAAGGATAAGACTTGAGAGTTTAAAACTGAGATCCGTTTTTCCGTCTGAAAAATATCACCTAATTGTAAAATTGAATTATCGACATTTTTTCAACAAATTAAAAATCTTATAAAATAAAATTAACATAAATTTATTTGCGAAAAATTAAAAAGAAGCTTTCTATTTCTATTCTAAAATTCTATGAAATTTCGTCCAAAAATCTGACTTCGAAATATTTGTATGTATAATAATACGACATACAATTCTACACAGAATCGATCAAATATGATGACTAGACATGTACGATATAGGACGATAATATATAATATTTTCACATCGCTGACTTCTCATCCGCTCCATACCGCATATTGCGTATACTGCGCGATGATATCTTCTGTTGCTTACTTGCGGGATTTTGATGATTTTAGAAAAGCGAAACACTCACCTATCTGCTTCGAAGCGTATTGCTGAAGTAGACGTGTTCGTTTCTTTTCATAACCCTTCTGCGTAATATCTCCTGCAACAATGAAAAATGACTTAATTAATATCTATTCTAAGAGATAATTTACAATCCTATTTAATATTATAAACTGTCGTATTATGAATTGTATTCGTTATATTGTATATAACGATATTGTATATAACGCGATATAATTTACACGCTATAAAGTGTGTAAGTAAAGAAAGTAGAAAAAAAATATTTAAAATTTAAGAATAAAGATAAAAATATTAAGATGAAAATAAGATACGAACGAAGTTATGTATTATATATATTAAAAAAAAACTCGTATCACTAGAAATAAATAAATACTATTAACGACCGCAGAAATCGAATAGACGTTTCAGGATTGAATTTTAGATCAATACACGCTTGGTTGCCAGTGGCCGGTGCTGATGCAGCTCACCCATGTGCCGAGTACGATGTAAAACTGGTTAGTGTACTCGCCTTTCGTCACGCCTCGTAACTTGAGAAAACGCCGAAGAATCGATCCTAACGGCCAAGACATGATTTTTCCACGTTCGCGAAATGAAACCGGGCCATCGCGATTATGTTAATCGGCATATTCGAGTGATTCCCGACATCATCGATGTATCAAACCTATTCATATTTGTCTCTACATTATGATTTCTCGGGAAAAGCGATGTGGTATGGCCCCACATGGGACTATTCACGAGAAAAGGTTCGATTTTACTCTGAAGACAAAACAAGAAACGTTATATTCAGTGTTTGTACGTTATATTCAGATATTGAGGATAGATATAAACTTGTATCAGACATTTTAATAAACAATTGTACAAGTGCACAACTAAATAAAAACAGTGCATTTTTTCCAATATAAGAAATATGCACGCTTATTTAGCTTTCTTTTAAATGTTAAGATTCAAATGTTAAAGAAATCGCAAGGAATTTTCGCACGTTATAAATCACCCAATCCTCAAAGAAAATAGCGAAGACTATAACAAGAGACACGTTAAATCGCGATTGCGATACGCGTGCAGGCTCGCGATCGAGCAAGAAGCTCATCGAAACCGATCGCGAGAAATATGTTACGCAATTAACGCTGTCGGACGTCGAGTAACGGTCGAGTAAAGGATAGATAGATTCAATATGACGAATCGAACGATCGTAATCGCTGCGATTCAATTGCGTCGCTTGTTATTCAATAAATATCGAATATAATCGAATATAATACGAATCCAAGATTACGTATATCATAGATTGTTAAATCACAAAGTTTATGTATGTTTCTCTAATAATATGTTTCTCTAATTATCGTTACTATCGTTCTTTTCTTTATTTAAATATAATATGTATTTGTACTAAGGAATTGTTCTTCGAAAAGATGATTATGACTATTATTTTGTTATTCTTACTATATTTATCTTTTCGCGACCTTTATAAAATTATAAAATTATAATTCATATATTCTTACTGGGACGTTTTCTCAAGGATGAACACTTGCGCACAAGAAATACCGGCTGACCAGACGCTTTTTTCAATTGTGACTTTCGACGTAAGGGTCTTCTTCTAAGTCCTGATTTTTGTCTCTTCAGATATTGCTGTCGTTGTTGCGGAAAATTTTTCCTGCGCTCGTTAAAACAATCAACATCATCATCCTCACTATCAGTTGACGAGAGACACCTGTAGCCCGTATTAGAATTTTCAATTTTCGATTTCTCTTTGACAATATCCTTAGCTAAAAAAGAGAGAAACTGGCTACTGGCAAAATAATTTCCAGAAACAATCGTTCTCGTCATTGTTGTTGCTATTATTGCCGTTGTTGTTGTTGTTGTTGTTGCAGAAAGCGACTTCCAAGGAGTCCCACGCACCAAAAAGCCATTGCTCCTTAGCTCTTCGGAAAACAGCTTGTCCTCGTTGAAGTCACTAATCTTTGGGGCAGGGCAAGCCGATGATGAAGATGAAGTTGCCGAAAAAGAGCCCAGGGATGATGAAATAATTGAGTTCAAGGCATCATCCTCCCGACGCTCGTTGAAATCTCCTGATAGCAACAGTTTCTGATCGTCAAACTGATCGTCCGACACGTTCGATGACCAGTCGTTAATCCTCTCCAAGATCGGAGCCTCGTCATCAGGAAAATATCTGATCTCCCGCCAGACTCGTCGTTGACGTCTCGAGCGACGTCTCTCTGGCGGGACAAACCATACCGGGCTGCTAGTGCGAGCCGCAGGTTGCTGATTCTTCTTGCTAGCGCGTTGAGAGGTTCTCTTACCGCTTCGACGACGTGAACTGGAACGTCTAGACGCGCTTGTTCGTTTGAAGTAGCCCTCCGTACTCACGCTTGGCGATGGTTTTGGCGTCTTCCGACGAAAGAAACCATTTCGCGTCACCCTAGAGCCAAGCAGTGTCGATTGCGATCAAATGTTCTTTCAACAGCGCGATATTCGAATCGAACAATTAATAAAATTGATGGCAAATACAAACGATCTGTAGGTATATGAATTTTTTTTCCTTTTATATATTCGGATCAATAGAGAGATTATTATATTCATACATTAATTGTACAGAATAAAGCTTTTAAAAGAGTTTCGAATACCGTAATCAATTACTTAAAGTGCGAGACTTCCGAGTAAGAAATAAAAGACTTTAATTCAAGACAAATCTTGAATCATGAAAAATTCTGAAGAGATTCTTGAAGAAATCTTCAAGATTTTTTAGATCGTTTCCCCAATTTCACTAATTAATCGTTAATCAACCGATAAGTTAATCACCCTGGTCTGAAATCAGCAAATTTGGCAATTCTAAGAGAAAAGCCGAAGGATGAGGACGAAGTCTCCTTGCTGACAGGCTTCTCCGGTGCTGAGACCGTTCTCGCGACAGTCGGCTGTGGTTTCTTTTCCTTTAAAGCGCTGTCTAAAGAATGATGAACTAAAGAACTCGAAACAGAGGGATAGGAATGGGCTGATACCGGAACCGAGACCGGAACTGGCATCGCATCCCTCCATATCCTACCAAGACTGATGCTGACACTGAGTGGTCCTTCCACAGAGGGCTCTGAGGTCCAAGTGTCGTGTCCATTTGTTGTCTCGTCCCGACTTGGATCAGTAATGATACCGAAAGATTTAGATTTGGATGTTAAAATAGGTGAGGCATCGAGCTCGAGAATTTTCAGATCCTCGACAACCGAATCCGCATCGCCGGTACGTTTGTTAAGTTTTGTGGTCTTAATTTTAGGATGTTGAAAAGATTCAAGCTGATGATCCTCGTGAAGCTTCTCGCGAGAAGAGGAACTGACTCCTTGAAGCCACTCATCATAAGTAATAGAGTCGCGACTGAGGGAAAGCTCTTGATCTTTCTTGAGTTCTTGTTCCTTAATTTGTTGAGAAATAATTTTATCATTTGCTTCTAATTGTGAAGGAGAATTAACACCGGGATCCAAATTTTTCTGAAGACGGTTCCGTCTTTTACCCCGATCCAGATAACTCTTTCTTATAGAAATTCTTTTGAAGGACTCGCTGCGCTTGAAGGAGGGCTCGTTGCGATCCTTCTTGCGGCTCACGAGCCTCCTCAGATTCTCGAAGGTGAGGGGCCTCATGAGGCAGTACGCGACCAACCTCGACTCGCGGAAGTAGAATTGCTATAGATTTATACTATCTCTAAATGGTATCGGACGCAGCTATATGACAAAGATTAATAGATGCACTCGCGCATCACAAAGTTCTGAGCTTCAAAAGGATCACAAATGCAAAAGTATCTTACTTGATCGAGAATCTATCTATCGGAAGAATCTGCAAAATCAATAAGAATCTGGCTAATTCTGATTTTACAAAAAAAGGGTATTTGTGAAAACAAGTAAATTTACGAGTTTCTTTCTATCTCTTCGTTACTTCGTGTTTCTCTGTTTCTCTCCTTCTCGGACCCTTTACTCTTTGTTTCTCTTTTCTTCTTGCCCTCCTTGCCCTTTCGCTATCCGTATCTTTATCTCCCTTTCTCTCTTTCGTTCCTTCTCTCTTTTACACTAAGGTCCGCTAAGGTGCAACGCCGAGGTCTTCCACTCATGGATGATCAGCGTAGCTTTCCTTTTTCGATGCCGTGCTGCTGCGCCGCCACCACTGTTGCTCTTCCTCCCTCTTCTTCATTGCCCTTCTCTTCTCTTTTCTTCCATACCCTGAGTTCGACCGGAATGATCATTCTACGCGAAAAAATTCGGCGCGAATTGCATGAGTGTCTTTAAGTCAACGCACTCAATATCAAAAAATTTACTTTCAAATGGTTCAATGATCACTATTCTTGCTTATTATCATTATTATCGTCGAATTTAAATAATGTTTTTAAATTTATGATAGCTGTGTGCAGACATTATGACGATACTCGACGATATATTCTCATATGCAAAATTTGTCTACATTTCTATTTCCATTTAATATCGATGTAAATTATTTGACAAACTGCACAAATGTTTTCTTTTCAAGTTATGCTAATAAACTTATTATCAATCGTGTTTTGTTGTTAATTGTAGTTTCTTTGAAATATCTCGCTCACTGCTTGCCACGAAAGTATCTTGAAACTTTGTCAGATACTTTCTCCGCCCTCGGACGATTACGGTGCGTTTGTCTCACTCCTTTCCTCGTCTCCTCTGCTGTTATCCACGCGATCATTTAATGATCTAAATGCAATTCTCTAGATGGAACCAGTGTTTTCGTGTAAGAAAGTTTTCAATTAAGTTTAATTCTATTTGATCAAAATGAGAGATATAAAAGTATAAATCAAGACATCCAACAGATAAATTAAATCTTATGTGTGACACGTATGTGCTAAATAAAAATATATCACCTTCTCATTGCACACAAATGTGTTTCATTTTTACACACATTAAAGATAGATCCACTATCAGATTTGTACAAAATTCTCATAAATATTCGCTGGAGTGGCCAACAGTTGCTAAGAATGGAGCACTCTATCCAGAATACTCACAAATCTCTAATGATCGTTCGAAATCATTATTATCTATCGCGTCACCATCATAGACACATACACATATACATCGTTCGCCTTCGATCGGTAAGCAAAAACCTCTCACTCGCGCCTCGAGCACGCGAGATAACTTAATCGCGCGTAAACTCAACGTGTTGCATTTACACGATTGCTTCGAAAAATGAAATTCTTTCCTGGCAAAAAATTTCGGATCTCAAAAGATCTGGTGCACAAGTTAAGCATGCTCCGAGATCGTGGGGCGAGTACGACGACGGCTCGACGCGCGTCCGCGCGTTCGAATTCGCGCGGCGCCCGCTTCGTCTCGCCGTCGAGGCGCGTACTTCAAGTCGCGTCGAATCACTGGCATTTTGCGCAGTCTCCGCGGCTCACGGCGATTCTCTCGCATGCGGGGAGAGCTCCGAGAGAAGGAGAAAGAGAGAGATAAAATGAGACAGAAGCCTACGGGTGGGAAGCCGGCTCGCGCGTGTAAAAGTCGCCAGACGGAAGAGTAGGTGAGAGGATTGAACGTGCAAGAAGAGCGAGCGAGGGAGCGAAGAAGAAAAAGCGAGAAAGAGAGAAGAATATGGGAGTGGTGGTGGCATGCCGTCCGTCCACTCTCGCCTGCCTTCTTTACTCGCAGCATCCCACTCTCTCTCGATTTATCTCGCTTAGTACTCTTTGCCGCACCGATACGGCTTCTCGCTCGCGCCCCGCTCGAGCTCTACCGGCATTCGAGACTTCAACTCTCCGCGTGCCCTGCCCCCTTCCACACGCAAGAAAGATTCTTAAGGTGGGATTACGAGGGTCGACCGGAGTTTCGGCCCTTTGCAAGATTGTAAAATCCGAGCGATATAGCGTGCGCACATTAATATATATATATATATATAAAATAAATTTATAATAATTTATATAATATATAAATAAATTTATATATATATATATATATATATAAAATTTTTGTTAAATTATAATTATCTTTCCTGTTTCTTGCGCGATTCATCGATTCTGCTAATCTCTCTGATTCTATTATGTTTCACTTCCATGAATCCTAGTTTCGTATGATGAAATTCTCTTGCGCATTTAATAGCTATAATCACTTGACGTGTTTCGCAGAGTTTGCTGACAAAGCGAATGCATCTGAAATAGAATCAACACGAAATAAGAATAGGATAAGGAAAACTGTTTGATATTATCTTATTCGGAGAAAAAGCGTGTACTCATGAATCGAATGCTCTTCGATATCAATATACTCTTGTGTACGTGACCCTTTCCACGATCCATGAATAAGATTCGAGACACGCCTACGCTCAATCGTCTTGTGAAGTCAAATGCTTCAGCTTCGGTCTCGCTATTACGAACGAGTGGGTGGTACGAAATAGTTGCACAGCAATACGTTTCAAACTTTCTTGCCTTATTTATCCTCTGGAAGTATAGATTTTACATTTTACATATACAACATTACGTATAAAGAACGCGATCGATTATTTTATAAATAACATAATTTTACTAATCAAATAATATTTTAAATCTGATCGCGAGACACTACAATATCATCATACATAATCAAAACAATCAACATTTTTTCATTGCTCGAAAATTACCTGAGTAATAATCAAAGTTGATACCGTTATCTTTTTAAATGCTATTAATATTCCATATGCATATCCGCGATGCGTGACTGCTATATTTTAAACACTGTACTATACTCTCTTTAAATTATTTAATTGATACTGACTTCGAATATCCGCACTTCTATATTCTCGATATTTCGAATTATATAATTCAAAAAAGATTTGTGAAAAAGAGATGTTTCTTTTTATCTAGGATACGATTCTCGAAACGACTAGAATTCTAGTCAGTACCACAAGTCCCTATTCGATGTGACCGAATCTAGATGCCGAATGTAGCAGCGTGAATAATTAAACCATATATAGATATATTGTCAGAACGATGCGGAGGAGGGACACTATAATGGCCGATAAGCGTGAGGAGTGTCTACGAAAGCATACCGGCTCTCAAGGCGACTCGAGGACGTTTACCCACGAAACCGACGACCTTGATCTTACAAACGATCCATGAAGGAGCGGCCCAGTGATGCTGTAGCTGCACCTGCATTGCGTGCGACAAAGTCGCAGCTAATCAACTTTGTTTTCCCATTCTTCACTATTCGTCCCAGGGGACAGAATGTTTGAAAAAAAATAATCAAAAAATTAATCGAGTATTTGTCACCATTTCAATGCATTGCACAGAGTCTTGTGCCGATCTTAAATCAAACTAACATTTCAAAGTAAAGTAGTAATAAAATAGAATAGAAAAAACGACAAGTTTTATAAACGTTGATACAACTCCCCTAGATTACATGAATATGAAGTAACGGGACAACAGCACAAAAGAAAATAGGTAAAAACAAGGAAAGGAAAAATATACGACAATATGCAATTCAACTGTATTTATAAAAATTATTAATATAAATGATGCTTCTATTAAGTTCAGAGGATACGTTTGTATAAAATTAACAATGATCTTAAACAACATCAATTATTTTTGCATACATCATTGAGATAAATTGCATCTAATAAATATTACCTAATAACATAATAATTATGAAATTAATAAGCTAAGATAGCTTTCTATTATGTTATTAGATGAATTGCAGCTCATATTTCTGTATCGACAACTAATGATGCATCGCGCTTAAACATCCAGTTAAATACCACAACAAAAACAAAACTTATTAAATTATACTATGTGATCTGATTTACTGATAAACATATTCATGAAAAAGACATTCATTTTCAAGGATATATTTCTATGATGAATAAAAATATTCATTAAATTAGAGAAAATATAATCGTCAATATTTATGTTTGATTTAAAAACTTTGAGTTAAAGAGTTTAATTATTTAATTTTTAAATAAAATATTTTAAATATCAAGAATGTATGCATTTTCATGTTTTCACTTATCTAACATTTCATATCCGCAATGATTAATGTATATATTTGTGGATTATGCTTTCGAAACAAATCAGTCATTTTCTTGTGTACAATTCTTTTAATCATCAATCTTAAAAAGCTATAATTTCGAAAGCTAATAAATTATAATTTTTCTTCTATATTGTTATAAATTATATTCGAGACATTTATATAATTATTGTTTATCTGTTTTGTCAAGAGTTGTCTTATCAATAAATAATATATAAATAAATGATATTATCAAAAAAAATACGTTACAATAAAGATGATAGTGTAACGCGAAATTGAGCGTTTGCGACGCACACGATGGAATCGTTTCTTCCTCTTTATTAATGCGGATGCACGACGCCGCTGACGCAGACATTTAAGTCTTATTTACAGCTGGACGACGTAAGCCGCTTACGTTACACCCTTGCCACGTGCTAGCTTGGTCAAGCAGTTGACCAAGAAATTGCATTTTCTTCGTTCAACCGTTGAGCTTGTCTTTGCTTTACAAATAACGCGGCTTCAACTCATGAAGTTGTGATGATCTTGATTAGTTAACGTTGACGTTCATTCGTAAATCTTTAAATTTTAAATCTTTATCGTGGATCTTTAAATTCAAGAATCTGTTTAATATTAAGATTACATGTATTGATGATTATGGAATGAAAAATTTAAGAAATTATATAAAAGTAAATTCTCAATATAATTGAATGAAACATCGAATCGTTCTATTCGGACATTCAATATTTTTCTAATCGTTAAAAGTTTTGAGATAAAAATAGATAGATAGATAGATAGATAGATAGATAGATAAATAGAGAGAGAGAGAGAGAGAGAGAGAGAGAGAGAGAAGAATGTAACAATATACATGGCTTAGTTCGACCAAGCGTGGCTATTCTACTAATAATACAAGGTCCCAATTTAGTTTAATTAATTTGTATATAATTTATATAATAAAACTTACAGGAAACATGATATCTCCTAACCAATCCATTGACGCCCATCTATTACGTCATTGAATCGGTACGTACAAACAATAAAATTTTTCAAGGAACACCTGTCATTTGGGGGGAAGTGACTCGAGAAACCGGTCGCTTCTTGCTTATAACAGTCCTAACTACGAATGCAAATAATCGCATTCTCGCGAGTGAGTTACAGCCCGTTTACAACGAAAAAAGTCTCAGTGCACCTGCAATGTTGGTATTTTGGTAATTTTGTAATTTTGTAATTTTGTAACATGAGACAATGCAAATTTTTACACGTCATGACACGATGAAAAATTCACGAGATATCAACGCGAGACAAGACTTTGAGATAATCAAACGCGTCTAAAAAAGCATATAAACAATACACATATTGCACAATATTTATCGAATACGGATGCAAATTGTTCAGAATCGATGTCACAAAGAAAATGGATGGTCAGATTTGGCAATCCTGACCGATTCCGCTTCATTTAATTTAAAGAGACAAACCGTGACGATGCACAATATTATCAACGTACATATTGCGAGATAATGATCGCAAGCAAAATAGTAAAAAAAAAATCAGCCTGTAAACATAACGGAAACCTAAAAAATTTTTAACTGAAAGGGATGGACAGCCATTGTGACTTTTAGAAATAGCAAACCAAGAAATGTAAACGCTAGTACTCCACTTTACACAATAGATATTCATTAAATATACCATTTATTACGAAATAAAGTTAAAAATTCATTTCCATCAGCCCTTGCATATCATTTTTACCATTTTCTGTCAGCATTTTCGGCACGAGCGATTTAACATTATTTAAATGACGCTTGCTCCTCCTAGATTTCCAAAAGATGAATTGCCGAATATTTCTGAGAAATCGACAACGGTTTTAAACTTCTTGCATAGAGAATGAAGAGACAAGCAACGGCCGTAAGGTGTTATCGATTTTATCAACAAACGGGGGCTTCTAGGGGATTCTGTCTCGGTGTAACACGGGGTGAGTCAGGAAGAGCGAGAGAGAAACGGAATGAGCGAATGAGCGAAAGAGCGAAAGAGCGAGAGCGAGAGCGAGAGCGACAGAGACAGAGAAAGAACGAAACGGTGGAAAGCAAGTTCGCCGCGAGGGGCGGCGGATAATCGCCGCGGTCGGCGAAGTCGAAAGAAAATAGTCACCTACCTTCGGACAGCTCGAGGTCCAATTCGGCGAGCTTCTCCCGCACGTCCTCTGGAAGCTTGCCGATGTCGATGTTGTACTCGGCCATCGCTAGGCCATCCGCGCTGCGCCGTGATCGCGAATCCACCAGCGGTGCATACCACGACCCGTCACCACCGTTCGGCCATCTTGCCTGCAACTGAAGTACACCGTCGCGTCACCGACGGCGCCACCGACGGTGCTACCGCGACGGTCGCGCGCACTTGCCATCACCCCCACCTACTGCACCACGCCAATGCCCGTACCTACCCGTGTCCCAACAGGTGATTCACAACGAACGATTTTTGTATCAAGGATATCATAGAAGGTATGTTGAGAGTTCGATACTTTTGTAACGAAAAATTCAATGGCTGATTTGTACATACATATAATATTGCATATAGCATATTGTTCATTATTAATATTTCTCTCGATCGAGTAAATCGTAACAATTCCGAAAAATTATCGAAATGTTCATTTGAAAAGATGATACAATATTAAGTTTTATAACTTTATCGCATTATAATATTTTTGTCTCTGTAACGTTATATTGTGGATGATAAGAAAGCAATATTATTGTTATAAAAATATAAAAGCAAAATTGGTTACTATGCAAGCTTTCGAAACAACTACCCTAACAGCATGTCCATACATCGACTGTAAGTCGACTTTCTCAAGTCAGGCCTTCCGAGTTGACTGCAAATCGACTTTGTACAGACATTTGCAGACATTTTTTAAATGTCGACTTTCGTCGACAAGACGTCTAAGGCCGTATTCATAGTCCGTTCTTATATTTAAGATCGTCTTCAGTAAACTCACACAATTATCCTACAATATGCTATTATTCTTTGTATGATAACATATAAAGTATTATATAGGTTGTATTATTCTTTTGATTTGAACATGAATATGAAATATGGAATTAAAGTTATTTACAGATTATAGTATTTTAAAAATCAATCAATTCATAATTATAATTATTTATATATAATATAATTAAAATTATAAATATTAATTAAAAATATATTTTTTCAAAGTATATACTAACTTTTTAATTAATAACACTATCTGTACTAGTTTAAGATGTTATCTCTTGAGATTACATTCGCGCAATGTTTCCATAAGAGTAATGTTAAAATTATTTATATGGAGGTAATGTAAATAAATGTTTTTATGCAAATACTGCATGAGTGCAAGTCCAAAGAAAAACACCATAAAAAAAATAAAACTTTTTTAAATATTCACGCCATTGCAAGATACGCATGCACAGTACTGATCTTAAAATGGCTGACTAAAGTCAGCTTAAGTTGTCTTCAAAAGATCATTGTAGGTGCTTACGATAATTCCAGTTAATTCCACTAGAACCAAAAAATATAATACACATATCCATCTAGTATTTTTATAAGTTATGACAACGCTCTCTTAAGGTCATTGCACGTGGAAAAATTTTAGTAGTAATCGTAAGGTCATAAGCGAATTGATCAACTACAATCAATTATTTTTAGGCTGTAAGGAGACTAATTGATTCTGATTGGTCAATTTGTTTATAATCTTACAATTACAATTAAAATTTTTTACGTGCAATGGCCTTAAGGGCTGCCGCACACAAATTTCCATAATCGTAACAGTAAGACGTAAACTTAAGCCAATAGGCCAATCAACATATTGCTTTAAGTCTAAGTATCTAATGGAAATAGAAATAACGATAAACTTATTCATAAGACAAATTTCAACCTGAAATTTCTACCAATATATATAGATAATTTGTATATTAATGTTGGGCTCGTGCAAATAATGGGTAGCACATCTATAATGCATCTAACCAATGATATATGTAAAGTCAATAAAGAAACTAGTAGAAACCAGTGGATTTGACGAAATAAAGATTTATATAAAGATAAATAAGTCATATAAAGATAAAATGTAAGTTTGATATTAATATATATTAATGTAGTAATATATAAATATATATTTTTATAATTAATTTATTTAAACATAAAAATTTGTTTGTTAATCTTTACTTGTTATTACAGGTTATTTAAAAGTGACGGGTAAAATAAGTATATTAGTCTGTAGGAAGATATTTAGGATTTCATTGATTCAATCTTATATTGTATTCGTAAGTATTTTGAAAGTAAAATAGCTATTATACAAAATAAATTTATGGAATAAATAAATATGAGTACACAGAAGCTTGTATCTTTTTTATTATGTCAATATTTCATTTTCATCAT